TTCGCTTGCAGCCAGCGAGGGAGTAGATTAAAGATTGATGTACAAACACACGCTCAATCAGACTCACACATATTTTTTACGCAGTGGATTAAGTGTCTTAATTACAGTGAGTAGACAAATAATAACGTAGTTGAAATAGCATACTACAGAGGCATCGGCCTCGTGACTTCAAAAGACTCTCGGCTTCAATCATGAGGCATCATAATCATTCCTCCAACTCACAGGGTAGAGTCTAAACGGTTTATTTGATTTGTTTAATCTGGCCGGCGTTTTTTTGGCAAGATTTTTTTACGAGATGCGGTCGCTAACCCCATACTCAACCCACCTCCTTTGCCTGAGCTTGGGACCGGCAGTAACTCTAGAAGAGCTACAGGCATAGCTGAAGGGCGAAAACTGGATTTACTAACCTTATGATCCTACTGAGGCACATATAAACGATTAAAAACTCACAGAGTCTTACTAACTTGGTGATGCGCGCTTTCAAAGAATTTTCTGTCAGAACAGTTTTAGTAGCAGATTACACACTGTAGATCAGCAACGTAGATGATCTATGTCGAAATGATTGGAGGCCTACTCGAGTTAGACGTGAATGGTGTGACGAACCAACTAACGTCGAAGTCACACCTCGTGGTCAGCACCTTACGTGGACTACCCCCATTGACGTATCAAGGTACCATAGATGCTTTGAAGACTGTACAACACAGAGGTTATTACAGAAATATATTAGTTAAAGTAGATACAAGCGAAAGTAAGATCACTGCCACATGGGCCAGTCCACCGCATACGATTAACTAATGTGCGTTGGTTGTACATGACCCTGGCAGGGAGCGATGATCTGTTCGACATTCAGTGATCCAACTGCCGGATGATTTGGCTAGGGCTCAGTGACATTTCACTGACCCTACAACACTGATATTGTGAATGCCGTTTATCTTGAACTTTGCTTAACGGAAAGCATTTTATAAATCATTTTCACAGTTCAATTCCATCCAAATCAAGTAGTATCTTCTGCACCAGTTGCTGCGTTCTGAAACTTTGAATTTGGGACTTTGCGCCAAGTCGAAACTGTGGTTATGGCGGGTCCTGAAATTACTAAAAATTCCATTAGACATCATGTCCACGCTTTGTCCAAAATGTTTGGGTTTGTCACTCCTATATGCTACTCACTCCCAACAGTGTTGATTTGATGTATGATCCAAATGTGTATGCTTTTGCAGACAGTCTAGAAAAGAGCATTGATAGTTCGGCTGACACTCAGGTAAAAAAACTGCCAAGTTTAATAAAGTAGTACAACATTCATGATTTAGTTACCAGACTTTGCGGCGATAACCCACAATACGATGCATTTTTACGGCGGTATGAAGAGTTGAAACCTAGAAAGTTAGCACAGTCCTTAAAATTACTGGGAATTTTAGCATTAGGGAACTTTCCGCTGTTGTTTATCTCTTATCAAAGCTGAAGTCGGACGACGCTATACTCAGAAGTTTAGAGTATCTTCCTTTGTCTACTAAGCCTTTTAATGGCCAAAGCAAAGTCTCTACTATTCCCGTTTGTGGGAAGGTAAGCTCACATCATACAACTTATTTTGTTCAATTCTTTCTCACTAATGACATTGTGCTTTATATTTTAAGTTTTTTGATGGAAAAAAGTAGAGCGCTTAACTAGAATTATCAATTATTAGTGTGCTACTGAAAATCTATTTTGGGTTGTAGTTTTATGTCATCCCAGGTATCCTTCTGTTAATGTCGACTCGTAATCTTTCGACCGTCTTTAATTTACCCTTTAGTAAAGTTTGTGCGTTTTATTGGTCTTTACATCAGTTATTGTTACGTTTCCCCAAAATGTTTTTTGTCAACCCAGTAGACTATGATAATGACAGGTATCCGTTTATTTTCTGTATTGTAGCTTAGTTATATGACCTACTTGTAACGAATGAACTTTAGTTTGGGAATGACCGTTAAATGGAAATACTACGTCACCCCCACCTATGAGATTCCTCCCAGTTAATCCAACCTTTGAGTGCGTTGAAAGGAGCTGTAGTCAAGTGTAAAGGTCCTGACCGTTGCTGCTACCTTGTAGTAGTCGGGCTTGCCTCTCGTGATGAGCCGTTCGGGCTATACTGGCTGGAACAACTGTTCTTTAAGGTTCTACCATACCAGGCAGATTGGTTGAAGAGCCGTTAAACTAAAAGCGGCAAACCCAAGGTCCGAAGGCGAAGTTGTAATGGTGACTTCGCAGTACTGTGATGGAAATAAGGTGTTTGCCTCAGAACCAACATGACAGCGATGCTTTATTCCTACAAAGAAATGTGGGGTTATGCACACCTCGCTTTATAACACGGATATCCGTCTCCGGCCGTAAGGTCTCAACAAGTACGGAGCTAACACAAAAATTACCCATAAAAAGGTCGTGTGTGACCGACCTCAAGTAGTTGTCCCTTGGGCACTGCGGTCACGCTCCCAGGTCACTAAGACCACCTCTAATCCAATTTCCTCTTCAGGTATATCCAGAACAACCCTTCCACGGTGTGGGCAACCGGGAAGTGATAACCGCCCTCATACCTCTAACAGCACTCAAGCCCACTGTATTCATAATCAATTTCCCTCTTCAATTCCCTTTAATCATCCTACCTTAACTTCCAACCCCACACTTCCTCCTTAACTGTCATCATGGCGAACGATTCTAGTGCGCGAAGTCTTGTCTCAAGTCTACTGAAACCTTGCTGCAAACTACACATTGCAGCTTTCGACGTCCGCACCGTATGTCAAATCGGTCAGCAGAACTCCTTAGCTAAGACACTAGAATCTTGTACGATTGATGTACACGCATCCAAGATCCTAGTGTTCTCATTCATTTGCCTTCACCTCGCAAAAACGGAAAGTCGACGAGATATACCCTCTGTGTATCTGGTGACCTGATGACAAGTTCTCGTGGACTGACGAGTGTAGGCATAACATCAAGATGGCTAAACAAGCACTCCCATCAGGATGGTCAGTTTATTTCCTGAATACTTCGCTGTGATTGATTGCAGCCTCTCATAGAACTGATCTTTATTGTCGTAGTTGCTATCATTGGTGGGTGCATAAGATCGGATAACATTCATTGTGATCCCCTCATTCTTTGTTTTCCATGATGCTTTGATAATTCTGGATCCGTGAGATTCCCACCCTACAAGTGCATTTCGTGCTTCTTTGGACAGCATTAGAGCAATTCCCTGAGTGTGTGGAGCATTTTCCTCTTCGTGACCGGAGTACAGCAGCATCTCTCCCGTATCTAGCCTTTGCTGTGCAGCTTGACTTCAGTGGGTTTCGCTGATTCCAAGTACTGCCAATTTGTATCTCCTTATTTCCGTTGTTATTTGACTGGTCCTCACGACCTCTCACATTGTCCGGACGCTCCATGTACCTATGAAAATTGTTGCTCTGGTTGTTAAAAGGGGCATCGGCCTCATGATTTCAGAAGAATCTCGGTTTTCATCCTGAGGCGCCATAATTATTCCTTCAACTCCCAGGGTAGAGTTTGAATGGTTTGATTTGTTTAATCTGGTTGTTTTTTAGCAAGATTTTTTTCTGCCCTCCTCTTTTACTTGAGCTTGGGACCAGCAGTAACTTTAGAAGTGTTACAGTCGAAGTTAACAATGAGAAAACCAAAGATCAATTCCGTGAACTACTTACGCATTTCGAAAAGCGAAGCTGACCCAGATGTTGCTTGCGAATATTTTGGATTAGTTGTGGAAATAGCAGCGACGTCTATTGTTGATTTTAACCAAGTGGTGACGAAAATCCATATGATTTATGCGACATCTGTCACACTGATAGACTCTCGTAAACTTTTCTCATGATGCTCCGAATATGATGACGTGCAAAATCAAATCAGATCTAGGTTAACCAAAAGTCTACAGAACGATCGTCAGCAGTGACCGGGCAACGAAAGCAGAAGAAATAGAAAAGGCATCGACTGTAGGTAACCCAAAACAGCTTTTCAGACTAATAAAAGAAACTGGAATTAAGAATTCATTTGTGAGACGATCTCAGAAAAAGACGACACTTATCTGCTCTCAGCTCAGACGTTAAGAACGATGGGCGAAACACTAAGGAGCAGTTCAGCTGACCTTCAGCTACTCTACAACTGTTCACCATTCCAAAACAGCCTGAATAGAACACTGAACTAGGTCTCTCGATTCTAGTTGAAGTTCAAAAAGCTATAGCCAATCTGAACGAGGAAGAGCGTCTGGTTCAGATGCATTGGCTCCAGAGGTCTTTAAGAATACTGGTCCAATTGTAGCGATTAGGTTGACTAATAGTTTAGCTAAAGTATGGAAGTTAGACGTAATCCCATCTGACTGGTCACAATCACTGATTGTCCAAATATATAAGAGAGGGTTAAAATCATCCTGTGATAACTATAGAGAGACTAGTTTAACTAATATAGTATTTAAAATACTAGCCTCAATAATTATCGGGCGCTTAGCAATTACTTGTGGATTGCAAACACGAGAAAATCAGGCTGGTTTCAGGACTGGTCGTGGTTGTATCGACCATATTCACTATTCGTCAGACTCAGTACTGATGTGCATCAACACCTGGACTGATGATAGGGAGTGAAGAAGTCGAACGCGTCAACAACTTCACTTTTCCTGGAAGTCTGATTGGCTCTAATGGGTTGGTGTCTGACGAAATCTCATCACGGATTCAGAAAGCTCATTTGGCTTTTGCGAACTTAAGTTACCTATGGTAAAGGCGAGATATTCTTCTATCAATGGAAGGACGAGTATACTGCGCAGCAGTTCGTTGTTTTACTTTACGGCTACGAAACGTGATCATTAAGAGTAGAAGATACTCGTGAGTTACTAGCAGTAGTCCAGTTGTAGTTGGATGAAGATCGTACAGTGTCAAGAATTTCTTAACTATGCTACCTTCCAAAGTTCCTTAGATCCTCTCACCACTTGTATTTTTTGTGCGATGTGTTTTTTTGTACACGTTAAAACGTGTTTTTCAAGTATGATGAATGTCTTTCAGGATATAACACATCTTCAACATGTGAATGACGAGTCTTGTACACAAGGATCAAGTTCAGAGCAACCAGTCAGGAATGATAGTCTGAGACCCATGTTTGGTGCGTCAGATGAATTATCTTTGTTTTCAGCCTGTGGTCTTGGCGCACATTCCAGTTCATTTGTTCAGGCTTCCAAGAATACATCTAAAAAGTTGGTTTCTAGCAACACAGTCCAACCTCCAACATTTCCTCTGCAACCAGAGTGGATATACTCACGCGGGACGCTTTGGGATGACTTCCTGTCGATTTCACTTAATTCAGAAGTGAGTCTTAGTGTGTTAAGGGTTTTCCATTTGTTAGTTCTCGTGTTTATGATGAAATTTATTTAGTGCTCCCCCTAAAAGTCGGAGTCGTCAAATTTAGTCTAGTCTTAAAGCAAATGCACTATATTTTTTAGTATTGGTAATTGATGGCCAGATGTGTCACCATGCCTGTATCTTGTTTTAATCAATCTTTCAAAAATCATTGGATTTTCAGGCAGTCGGCTCACAGAATGCTTTTACTTGTATACGTCAGCGATTTGCAACCGTGAATAAATGAAGACCAAATAAAGTGACATGTCGTTACCTTATTACTTTGACGTCCTAAATATTGCTTCTTATTGTATTCTGGCTCGATGATGATCAGATTATTTGAACAGTCGTAACTAATTCAAAGTTTAGCTATTAATTTAACAAGAATGATTAGCTGACTATCCAACTTGACATTTCTATAAATCGATGGTTTAAAAGTACTGTAAAATTTACTGCCCATTATTTAAGGATCATTTAGCTTCTGTATACATACTTCAATATTTGTACACATCTTTTTGTGCTACGTGTTCATATCTAATCTACTTCAGGTACAATCTGTTACAAAATAACGAAGTTGGTTCTGTTTTGTTGATATAAACGACTGAAAACCGCCCTTATTTGCTAAAGTCCATTCGTCATTCGTGGTGTCTAATTAGTTAATTTTATTATAACGTTCTTTTTCATTATTTGTTCCCTTCATATTGCTTTTTTGAATCCATAAGAGATTGAACTAATGTTTCGTACAAGGCCTTTAATGTAACCGACTGAATCCAGTTAAATAAAGTTATGTTTAAAAACCCTCCCTGGCGATTTTCGGTTGTTGTGGGCATTAGATTTCGGCTGAAAAGTTCATTAATAAAGAATGTATGACAGTTGAGTGAAGGGTTAACTTCATTGATGTGTTATCAGTTACATAGCTAATTTCGGGTTGTTTGTGATATGTTCGTGCACTAAGGTAAGATTTCGTAACTCTGACTTCAATAATGAACGAGACTACTTCCATCGTTTTTCTCCATCCCCCTTTGTCTGAGGTAAAAAGTCTGAATTCTTAACTGAAGCTTTATTGATGATAACCCTAGTATAATTAAAAATACATGTTATTCCGTTATACATTGATTACAATGATCAGTATTTATAAACTGAGTAATTGTTACTTAACACAGTAAAACTACATTAGAAGTTCATAAAGTAATGTGTTGAAAGTTGACCCTCCACTCACCTTAAATCGATATTGATTTCCTTCCTTATAGGTTGTAGTGCTTGGTGTAGTTCGTTTAAAGTATATAATTTCGCGAATAATGTTGATAGTATAAACTTCCTGTAGTTGTGTGACGCATTTATCTGATAGGGTATGTACTCAAGGTCTGGATTCACTTACTTAGCTTATTTGAGATTTTTGATTTGTATATGCAGAAATCACTATTCATTAACTTGTAAATTTTACTCGTTTGCTTTTCCCTTAAGTCTTTCCAGCAACTCCCCATCGAATCTCTTTCAAATGCAGTCCAGGAATACGCTGTTGTTAGCGATCTACTACAGTGTTTGCAAGTAAATTTCATTTTAATCTATTTGTTTCATATAAACACAAATAATAGGTCTATTCATTCCAAATTATACTGCTCTTTTATTTATTTTTTTTGTCGCAGTTAAATTAAGAATTACTCCTAGATTTTCTTAAACATTTCAGGGTAACCAAGGAGTTTACATCAAACCTCTGCCTTTATCGAATCGTTACGCAGTCCGATGTTTTAAAGTAGATGAAAAAATGAGTACGTCTGTTTTACGTTCATATGTTCATTCCGTGAAGATATATGTAGTTAGTGATATTCACTAATTCTATTAGAAAGATTTTATCATAGTATTTTTCATCGCTAATGTGACTAATGCTCAGCTCTCTAGTCAGTAGAACACTTACCTGATATCTGGGTGTATCATGTTTAACTATATTTAAATGTCTAAGTTATTACGTTTCTGTTGTATGGACAGAAGTTCGTGTGAGTGTTTACGGCTTGTAAATCTTACAAAAGTCTTTTTGAAAGTCAAGTAAGATGTTCGCTGATGGTTAATAATTTGACCTCGTACTCGTAAAATTACTTCCTGTGTTTCTAAATAGTATGGGTGAGCTGTCTCTAAAAATATTTGGTCTGCCTATTACTCCTTCTAGGAGTACATTGTGTTGGGATCTATCACTTTATCAAGTGAAGTAACTTCTTCAGACTGAAAAATGAATCTGGTGCGCATCATCGTTGTGCATGGTCATTTCAGAGTCCGAAGGAATTTGTAATTAGTATACACAGAAACTCATTCAAAACTCCATGACATTGTTCAGAAGGTCAAGGAATTTCTACTGCCAACCTTTCCAGAACATAGGGCATCCATCCAAGTCTATGGAGAAGTTTAAAATAACTGGATACTTCATTGTCAAAAAACACTTCAAGTAATATATCAAGTCGCTACTTTCTATCGAGAAAGAGTTTAGATCTTGTTTGCCAGAGAATAATTCAATTTTCTAGTTTCTGCTAAATATTGGCTATATCTTCGTATGGGTTGCATAGGTTGTGACGAATATGGATTTTCTTGGGAACTTTAGACTACGGTCGGTTAGTATAGACCCTCTTGTTTAGGTTTTAGAAAGTTTATTTTTGGAAAGCACCAACTTTATATATATATATATATATATATATATATATATATATATATACAACTTCGACTGTATCACTTCTAAAGTTACTGCTGGTCCCAAGCTCAAGTAAAAGAGGAGGGCAGAAAAAAATCTTGCTAAAAAACAACCAGATTAAACAAATCAAACCATTCAAACTCTACCCTGGGAGTTGAAGGAATAATTATGGCGCCTCAGGATGAAAACCGAGATTCTTCTGAAATCATGAGGCCGATGCCCCTTTTAACAACCAGAGCAACAATTTTCATAGGTACATGGAGCGTCCGGACAATGTGAGAGGTCGTGAGGACCAGTCAAATAACAACGGAAATAAGGAGATACAAATTGGCAGTACTTGGAATCAGCGAAACCCACTGAAGTCAAGCTGCACAGCAAAGGCTAGATACGGGAGAGATGCTGCTGTACTCCGGTCACGAAGAGGAAAATGCTCCACACACTCAGGGAATTGCTCTAATGCTGTCCAAAGAAGCACGAAATGCACTTGTAGGGTGGGAATCTCACGGATCCAGAATTATCAAAGCATCATGGAAAACAAAGAATGAGGGGATCACAATGAATGTTATCCGATCTTATGCACCCACCAATGATAGCAACTACGACAATAAAGATCAGTTCTATGAGAGGCTGCAATCAATCACAGCGAAGTATTCAGGAAATAAACTGACCATCCTGATGGGATAAAGAAACGCCAAAGTCGGGATGAACAACACCGCATATGAAGATATCATGAGACGACATGAACTGGGAGAGAGAAACTACAATGGTGACAGATTTGCAAATTTACGTGCATTCAACAAAGTAGTTATAGTTGGGACCATAGTCACCACAAACGTATGCATAAAGCTACGTGCCGACGAAGTGGAAAGAAGCACATCTCATCAGTACCAAAGAAAGGAGATCCGAGCAAATGTGAGAACTTCAGAGGTATCACATCACTGTCAGTACCAGGAAAAGTTTTCAACAGAAGACAGCAACTAACAACAGCCGAACACGAGCAGAGATATTCAAGGCAAAGGCTGAGTACACAGAAGCAAACAAGCACATGAAAAAGAGCAGTAAAGCCGACAAGCAGAAATACGTGGAGGAACTAGCAACTACAGCAGAAAGAGCTACAAGAAAAGGAAATGTGACGCAACGAAATATAGAAAACCAGAGAGATCGGTCAGGGGCAAGAGGGCAAGCTAATCATGGAGACTCGAGAACAGAGGAACAGATGGTTAAAATCCTCGAGGAACTGTTGAATAGACCAGCTCCATTGAATCCACCGGTCATTGAAGCAACACATACAGATATTCCTATTGATGTCACTCCATCAACGATCGAAGAAATCAGGATGTCCATCAGACAAATCAGGAGTGGGAAAGCAGCAGGACCTGACGATATACCAGCTGCAGCACTGAAGTCAAACATTGAAGTAACTACAACCATGTTTCACCTTCTATTCAAGGAGATTTGGGAGGAGGAGTATGATAAAGCTTTTGACAGCGTGGGCAGGAGAATATTATGGAGAATTATTCGACACTATGGAGTTCGAGAAAATTGTTAACACTATCCGGCACTCATACGACGGACTACAGTGCAAATTGGTTCATGGATGACAGCTGACAAATGCATTCCAAGTAAGGACTGGAGTCAGACAAGGCTGATTACTCTCGCCCTCTCTTTTCCTTATAGTGGTTGACTGAATTATGAAGACCCCGACATCTGAGGGGAAGCACGGAATACAATGGACAGCTCAGAATCAATTAGACGATTTGGACTTCGCTGATGACCTAGCCCTCCTATTCCATACACACGAACAAATGCAGATAAAGACAACTAATGTAGCAGCAGCCTCTACATTAGTAGGCCTCAACATACACAAAAGAAAAAGCAGGATCTTCAAATGCAATACGAAGAGCACCAACCCAATCACACTTGATGGAGAAGCTATGGAAGATGTGGAATCTTTCAAGGACGAGAAGGATCTGATGCAGAAGTAAAGGCGAGGATTGGCAAAACAAGGTCCGCATTCCTACAACTGAAGAACATATAGAACTCAAAACAACCGTCAACCAATACCAAAGTCAGAATCTTTAATACGAACGTTAAGACAGTCCTACTGTACGGAGCTGAAACGTAGAGAACTACTACAACCATCATCAAGATGGTACAAGTAATTATAAATAGTTGTCTGCGCAAGATACTTAACATCCATTGGTCGGATACCATCAGCAACCGTCTTCTGTTGGCGAGGACGAACTAGCTTCCGGCTGAAGAGGAAATGAGGAAGAGACGTTGGAAGTGGATAGGACATACATTACGGAAATCACCAAACTGCAATGCGAGGCAAGCCCTATCTTGGAATCCTGATGGGAGGCGGAAAAGAGGAAGGCCAAAGAACACATTACGTCGGGAAATAGAAGCAGATATGAAAAGGATGAATAACAACTGGAAAGAACTGGAAAGGATTGCCCAGGACAGGGTTGGATGGAGAGTGCATGTGAGCGGCCTATACTCCTCTATGAGGGGTAGCAGCATAAGTAATATATAAAATCTGCTACCAACCTCCTCCTGCAACACAAGCCTGTATTCAAATTAATAATGTTGCGAGTAGTTATCTACGATCAAAATATGTACGGATATGGGTTCTTTTTAGATTGCTGTTTGGATTCTGGTCGTCCTCTTGTGTGCCTCAAACTCATTTCTCTTTTTTAGTAAATTTTTCCAAGACGTATTGATTTAAGGGAATTGATTCTATCAACTATTAGATCCAAGTGTCAAATGGAAAATTAGATTTCAACTCAGTGGAAAGTATAAAAAGATTAAGTAAATTTGCCAGACCCCATGATGATGCGTCAGTCAGTAATCTTCAGAGCGTTTGAATTGCTAAGCAGAGCGCTCGAAAGGATAATTTACCTATCTACCCAATTACCGCAACAACTTTGATAAATGTGTCATGTACTCTTTGGTCAAATACTACTGATTCACCCAAGAAAGTCGAGTTTTAGATGAACCTTCAACCTCTGAAACATCACAAATCATTAGGTCCAAACGACCCTACTTTTCTCATGGATAGTGATGAAATTATGATGAGAGAACTGTCTTGATTGTTTAACAAGGTTCAGTAGACATCCATCATCCTAAAACGAAGCAATTGTGACACCTATACTTGGAAAGAACATAAATAAGGCACGTGATTATAGACATCTCTCTTTGATCCTATTCAAATTATTAACCTTCATAGCTATGTGAGCGCTGGTGATATGGTAAATAGAATCAATATACGTGTAGTACACTCTATCATTGTTTGTGTTCATCACTATCACGTTTGATGCTATCCTGATGTTCTTCTGGTCGTTCCACTTGATTTTTGCTTATCTCGTTTGCGTTCTTTGCTCACTATTGTTCATAATAATTGCGTAAACTTCTATTCTGTCTATTTCTTCCCAATGGAATGGATTTCTAATTTAGTAGAAACTTGTGAAATCGATTAATCTTTTCTAACTGTTTTGGTTAGGTTCTGAAAGTAATCATTACTGTTTTTATAGCACCAAGCAGTGACTTTGGCTAAATAAATAGTACCTATTCCCGTCGGATGCTTCGTTTATACTTCTAACTTACCGGTGGCTTTGAGACATATGACCGGCCCTTGCAAACCACTTGCCTATGCTCATCCGATTAAGTGCTTAGGTACTTAGAAACACCTTTAATATTCCCATAATCTAACTAAGCTTTGAATCTTGTTGCAATTTTACTGCATCCAATAAAGCACATATAATTTTGTAAGCTCATCCGTCAACAGAAATTCAGTTCAGGAGTGCCTGTTCTATCTTTAAAATTAATATCATCCGTACTTCACCAAAACCACAAAAGTTGACGTCAATTTTTCAATTACCCAAAGGATAAACCATCCTGGACCTTCATATTGTCAGTGGGATCGAATGAATCACCATGCTTGGCTTGTGTGTTCGGGTTTTGGGGGTACAGTATGTTAATAGTGCAAAATTTAGACGTACAGACTAGTATAGTATGTCCGGCATGAAAAGGTTCAAACACCGAAGGCTACTAATAAAGTTTGGAGTCCGGTTT